CCTGTTCTGCCTCCTCTCCTTTCTTTTTCTCTTCTTTCTTTATGGTTGATTTCCTTTACAATTGACTGGCTTGATCTCTTTGGGGTCCAATTGACTTTAAAGAGTCTTCTCCAGCACCACAGTTCAAAAGCATCAATTCTTTAGCACTCAGTCTTCTTTCTGGTTCAACTCTTACTTCTGTACATGACTACTGGAAAAACCATAGCTTTGATTATATGAACCTCCTCAGTAAAATGATATCTCTGCCTTTTAATATGGTGTCTATTTTTGCTACAGTTTTTCTTCCAAGGAGCAAGCGTCTTTTAATTTCATGGCTGCAGTCACCGTCTCAGTGATTTTGAAGCCCAAGAAAATAAAATCTGCCACTGTTTCCACTTTTTCCTCATCTATTTGCCATAAAAAGATGGGAGCGGATGCAAAGATCTTAGCTTTTTGAGTGTTGAGTTTTAAGCCAGCTTTTTCACTCTCCTCTTTCATCTCCATCAAGAAGCCCTTTAGCTCCTCTTCAACTTCTGTCATTAGAGTGGTATCATCTGCATATCTGAGGTTGTTGATATTTCTCCTGGCAATCTTGATTCCAGCTTGTGATTCATCCAGCCTGGGATTTCACACGGTATACTCTGCTCAGAATTTAAAGGAGCAGGGTGACAATATAGAATTTTGTTGTACTCCTTTCCCAATTTTGAACCAGTCAGTTGTTCCATGTCGGGTTCTAACTGTTGCTTTTTGACTCACACACGGGTTTCTAAGGAGACAAATAAGGTGATCTGGTACTCCCATTAATTTAAGATTTTTACATAGTTTGTTGTGATCCACACAGTCAAAGGCTTTAGTGTAGTCAATGAATCAAAGGCAGATTTTTTTTCTGAATTCCTTTGCTTTCTACATGATCCAACATATGTTGGCAATTTGATCTCTGGCTCTGTTCAAACCCTCCTCCCCTTCCCAGTTTTCCCTTATAAGGCTTTAATTAGTCTATAGTTTGCATTAACTGTTATCAATACTTTGGGAAGCTCAAAGGAATACCCCTTGTTAGGGCAAATACAGATGTTTTTGAGGTGGGATCTTCAGGAGTGCCAACAGGTATGTCAAATCATGACAAATTTATTGGGAATAAAACTCTGAATTGGCTCTCTCTGGTGGTTGCAAGGTCTCTGGTGTTCACCAAGAATACAGGCTATTCTTTTTCAGGTGAATTGTGCTACTTGAGAGCATAAAGAAAGTTAACACACCACAACACTTCCTGTTCTTATTGGGATTCTGTTGTTTTTCTTGAATAAGTGCCCCATCAAATTACTGTGTCATAGTTATTTTCCAGAGTTCTGAAAAAGTGATCTACAAGGGAAGCCATTTTTCTCATTTCTTTTATAAAGGAGAGAATTTTCTTACCCTGAGATTTTATACCTTTCATATTTTAACATACATGTTGAATTATTTATTGTTTTCTAATTATGGCTATTGTTGCTCAGTATTTACCTACTTTTCCCTCAATGATTCATTGAAACCACCCATCATCATCTTAATACTTTAAAAAATTTTAGTGCTGTTTATTTTTTTATGAAAATATTAAATGTAATTTTTAACTGGAAAATTATTAATTCTGTTATAAAGGAAGAGAAGAGGAGGAATAGTGATGGCTAGTCTGCACCTGCTGCTGTCTGCTTCTCCCTCCAGCCCAGCTCTGGGGCTTCTCAGCTACTCTGTGGTAAACCATGCATGGCTGGCTTGGTGACTCTTGTCTTTCACCTAGGAAGGGTGACTGTGGAAAAGACTAATTAGGTCCTTTCCCCCAAATTTCCCTTTACCTAGGCTACCTAACATTTCTCCCAGAGCTGCACGTTCCTCCCACATAAGGAAAGAGTCAACCTCTATCTCCTCAGGCCTTTCACAGTCATGACTTCAGTTCCTCAGAAACTACATTCTCCTGAGCAAGTCCATAGCTGGGCTGATGTTGAAGTTTGTGAGCATCTTGTCAGTTACTTAAAACACAGCATCGAAACATGTATATTATCAAGTGTGAAACAGATCGCCAGTCCAGGTTGGATGCATGAGACAAGTGTTCGGAGCTGGTGCACTGGGACGACCCAGAGGGATGGGATGGGGAGGGAGGTGGGAACGGGGTTCGGGATGGGGAACACATGTAAATCCATGGCTGATTCATGTCAATGTATGGCAAAAACCACTACAATATTGTAAAGTAATTAGCCTCTAACTAATAAAAATAAATGGAAAAAAAAACTAAAATTAAAAAAAAACAAACACAACCTTGAGCAAGTTATTTAATCTCTTTGTAATTTCAGGATGATCCTTCAATAGATGCATGTAATGCTTAGATAATACCATGTTATGAGGATTTAATTAAGCATATATTTTAGATTAATTGAAAGAACATGTAGAATAGATATTCAATACATTTGAATCAGTTCTAATGAGGTGGATGAAACTGGAGCCCATTATACAGAGTGAAGTAAGCCAGAAAGAAAAACACCAATACAGTATGCTAATGCATATATATGGAATTTAGAAAGATGGTAATGATAACCCTATATGCAAGACAGAAAAAGAGACACAGATGTATAGAACAGACTTTTGGACTCTGTGGGAGAAGGCGAGGTTGGGATGATCTGAGAGATTAGCATTGAAACATGTATATTATCAATTGTGAAACAGATCGCCAGTCCAGGTTTGATGCATGAGACAAGTGCTCAGGGCTGGTGCACTAGGATGACCCAGAGGGATGGGATGGAGAAGGAGGTGGGAACGGGGTTCGGGATGGGGAACACATGTAAATCCATGGCTGATTCATATCAATGTATGGCAAAAACCACTACAGTATTGTAAAGTAATTAGCCCCCAACTAATATAAATAAATGAAAAAAAGAGAAAAAAAAGAAAAAAAAAGAATAGATATTCAGTAAGTGTATTCTTCATATAACTCAGCTCTCTATTGGAATAATTTGCTTTTTGGAATTCAAATAAAATAGATATGACCTCCCATCAAGTCCCTTGGACATCCAGATTTCCCGACAATTTCTGTGCATTCTCAGACGCTTAATTTCTCCTAGTCATCTCTCAGATCTCTACTTCCTGGACTCTTCATATCACTTAACTCTACACTTACCTCTTATCTGAACTTCCTGACACACACATGCATTATGTAGATCCAGGTCTTATTTCCTTTAATTCTCCAAAGATTCCTGGCACCAAGTATTTGTGTTTAGCAAGCTCTTCACAAAGTTTCTGCAGTTGGTATGTGTGCTTGTTTATGTGTTATGCCCTAGTACAGGATGGTTAGTATGTTGAATGTGAGATAGGATACCTCGACTTTTTAAAAGTTCTAGGTGTTTTTCCAGCATATAAAGTCTACTGTCTGGCTCTCTCCCAGCATCCATGGCCTGTAACACATTGCTGGTTTTCTCTGTCTAGGCTCCTCCCCCCCCAACCCACTCAAGCAAATGATCTTCAAAACCAGACATTTCTCACACAAAGATTGCTCACTACAGGGGTAGGGACTTGGGGGAGGAGGAAATACCAGACTCGTTCCTCTTCACCCTGAGAATGACCAGTAGATGAACTGTCTGGATTTTGACTGCATTCAGAAATTTCTGATCACAGGACTCATGGATCATCTTTTGAAGTAATTTCCTCATTAGTAGATTGGGTTGGAGGAAATGAGCCAGTGCTGGATATTCTCTTGTCTAAGATGTTGCAGAGCAGTTTATGGGAGCAAGCACAAAATGGACTCCTGTGAGTTGTTTGAGGCCATAGAGAGGGATGGGACAGTGACTGTGATGTGGGGAAATTTTTTCCTAGAGTTGGTTGTCAAGAATCCAGACCTTACCTGTGATTCACTGTGTGACTTTCTGCAGGTCATGCAGCCACTCTTGATCTTAGTTTTCACATCTAGAAAATGGGTTTAGTGCACCGTGCCCTGAATACCTTGAGTGCATGATTGTGGGGTCAGTCTTGTGGATGCAGCATTGAGGCCTGGGCAGCTGAGGAGAAAGCCTCAGTGGGCAGGAGAAGGAGGCATGGATCAGGATTTAGGTAGATGGGGCTGCTCCTGTGGTGTGTGGGGCGTGACAGTTCTCGGGTGTGAGGTATTCAATCTGGGGAGAAGACACCAGAGCGGGAGCCTCAGTAGGTGTCAGTGAGTCTGAGGCAGCTGAGGCTGTGGCCAGAAGAAGTATAGATATCCATGCCTGCCCCTCCATGATAGCAGGAGCAGGGCTGGCAGAGGATGAAAGGGAAGTTGTGGGTGTGATGCAGACAAGAGCCTATCAGAGACTGTGGGGTCTGGCTTTGTCCTGTGTGTCGGCAGGATAACTGGTGCTAGTGACAACTAAGAAAACCAGAAGAGTGCAAGCAATAGATAAATGCCAATATTTGTACTGGGCATGTGGGAACGCGACACTTTTAACAACGATCTTTATTTTCTTTTAGTAATGGCTTCTTACTTAAGCAACAGATAGTTGAAGTTCACAGAAAATCAAAAAGGAAATTTATCTCACTAAATGGTGTAAAGAAGAAGATGTCTTGCCCATCCTGGCTGTTAATAGTGTGGTGCTGTAGTGTAATAGTTCTGTGCTGGACCACAGGTTGATATTAGTGACCAAGGCTGCCTGGGCTGAACTGTTAACCAGGGGAAACTAGTAAAGGGATTATAATGGGGGTGGGGGTAAAGAGTGTGTGATCACCAAACTAGCATGACCACAGAGATGGGGCGCCTTGCCTACAGTACAGGTATATCATAAAGTAGAGTTGTTTATATATTTTTCTGCAATAGTTTATTGAGGTCCTATTGTAGGTTCTGCAGATGATATGAAACATCTGAATGGCTTATTCTAGCCCTGTGAGCTGGCATCCAGAACTAACTTGGTAGCCCCACCCTTGGGGTGGGGAAGAGCCCAAGAACTCTTAGAGGTGAAGCCTTTCCCGCTCGCCTGCTGCTCCTCCTAAATGTTTCCTCTGCAGCTGCAGAGCCTGGCAGGCAGCCTGAGATGGTGCCCTTCTCAGAAGACCCCCACCTCTGCTGCGCCGCCTGGCTCCTGGAACTCACCAGCCTCCTCCTCAGTGAGTAGCCTGGGCTCTTTGTGGTGGGGGGCAAGATTTGGGGACCCCTTCTCTCTCTGATGTCTTAGGTTGTGTTGAGGCCGGGAACCCTGAGGGGAGGCAGCCTTGGCTAGTGTAAGGGATTCTTTGCTAGGGAGATGAGGACCTACTGCTTCAATAACAGGGAAGCCAAGACAGTCTGGAGCTACTTGGGGAGAATAGAGAGATACAGAAGCAGCTTCTGGGGACCAAAGGAGTGCTCCCCAAAGGAACAAGGCTCCCCTGACTGGACAGAGGGATATAACAGCCTTTGCCATTGTCCCATGGAGAAGGGGCAGACCTAGAACCATGTATCTGAACTGGAGGAAGCAAATGGGGTCTAGTTTTCTTGGGCTGATGCAGGATGTTGAATACAGTAAAATTCTAATTTTGTAAAGTGAGGAGCAGCCTGCAAAGTTTAAGGGTGCCTGTATAGCCACATGCTGTATAAGAATGAAGAAACCATGGAAGGAACAGTAAACTGCTAAGTGGGTTCCAGCAGGGGGTGAACTTGGAGAAGAAAGAAAGGAGGGTGAAGCAGAGAGGACTGGGAATTAAGCAAAAAGGGAACTTAAAGAAAGACTATCATGAGAAAGCTGTATATCTCATTTATGACTTCCTCAGAGACTATGTGTTTGTAACAAAATTAAATAAAAACTAATGAGAAAATAATGATAGTGAAGTATCAATTCTGAAGAAAGTTTGGAAAGGTTTCATTGTTTTAATTTTTGGTTTTAGAGGCTTTCCAGGTGGCTTAGTGGGTAAAGAACCTGCCTGTCAATGTAGGAGATGTAAGAGGTGCAGGTTTGATCCCTGGGCTGGGAAGAATCTCTGGAGGAGGGCATGGTGACCAGTATTCTTGCCTGGAGAATGCCCATGGACAGAGGAACCTGGCAGGCTACAGTCCATGGGGTTGCAAAGAGTCGGACACAACTGACTGACTGACACACACAGATCCCAGTCATTATATGAACTCATTGGAGTTATATAAAATTCAGTGGGTTAGAGAGCATTTGTAAAAGTTCATTCTAAGTTGTTTCAGTCATATCCAACTCTTTGTGACCCTATGGACTGTAGCCCTTCAGGCTTCTCTGTCCATGGGATTCTCCAGGCAGTAATATTGGAGTGGATTGCCATGCCCTCCTCCAGGGGATCTTCTTGACCCAGGGATTGAACCCACATCTCTTATGTCTCCTGCATTAGCAGTCCAGTTCTTTACCACCAGCGCCATCTGGAAAGCATTTGTAAACAGAAGTCTTGAAATAACAGTGAGCTTTGCATGACATTACATCACATTTAACTAGGTACCTTTGTGACAACAGTAAAATGTAAGCTTTTTCTTCTCTCTCTCAATTTTATTTAACTGGAGAGATATGTTAGAGTTTTTTTTTTTTTCCTCCTGTAGTTCCTGAGGCCCAAATATTACATAAGAAGGGCAGACAAATAGACATGCAGAGAGACAAAGGGAGAGAGTGAGAGAGAATGAGAGAGAGAGACCTCTTTATCTTCTTCCTCTTCATATATAGGCACTAACCTCTTCATGAGAACCCCAAATCTGGATGGCATAAATGAGCAGAAATGTATTATTTCAGTTCTGTAGCCCAAAAGTCCAAAATCAAGGTGTCAGCAGGACTATATTCTAACACCTGTAGGGTGTATTACTTCATGTGGGCTGCCAAAGCAAGATGCCACAGACTGGGTGGCTTATCAACAGAAAATTTTTTCCCTTAGTTCAGGAGGCTATGTTCTAAACTCAGGTTTCATGCCAATTCTGTTTCTGGTGAGAGAGGGATAGGACACTGTGTCATGGGGGCCTTCTGGCCATGGCGTTTGTGTCCTGATTTATTTAGAGGGACTGGTAACACAGTCTTGTCCAGCTCTTCTCAGCTGACCTTCTGTGAACTGTGTGGGGGAGTCCATTCTCATCTCAGGGTGTGTGCTTTACAGTGGGGGCCCCCAATTCCTGGGCCACGGACAAGAGCTGGTCCCTGGCCTGTTAGGAACTTGGCCACACAGCAGGAGCTAAGTGGCAGGTGAGCGAGTGAAACTTCATCTGTATTTACAGCCACTCCCTATCACTCAAATTGCTGCCCAAGCTCAGGAAGACAAGCTCAGGGCTTCCACTGATTCTGCATTATGGTGAGCTGTACAATTATTTCATATATATCACAATGTATTATAATAATAATAGAAATAAAGTGCACAATAAATATAATGTGCTTGAATCATCCCGAAACCATCCCCTGCCCCCGTCTGTGGAAAAATTGTCTTCCATGACACCGGTCCCTAGTGCTGAAAGTTTGGGGACTGCAGCTCTACAGGGTAATATGTCCTTTGCAGCAGACCTAGTCTTGCACTAGGGTCTCAGAGGGGAGTGAGGTGTAGAATGAATGGACAGAAGAGGGGTTGCGAGGAGCCAGATATGATGTATGGATGAGTGAATACCATTTACTGTCGTGGACCACTGTCCCCACTGATACAGATCATGAAGGCTTTTGACCTGGGACTAAAATGTTGTTAAGCTCAGTGTGAGGACCATAGTTCTGCAAAAGGAGCTGAAAGGACTGTGGTGAAGGCCTGATCCCGAGGAAAGGCCTTATTAAATGATATGATGATTAAATGAATACAAAAATATCTGAAACACCTGTGCATATGAATGCTGGCACGAGCTATTCTCTGCTTCCAGTGAGACCAGGAATGGGTATTAGTACAGAAGAAGGGAGGCAGGTTTAAGATGAGAGCTTAATGATTTGAAGAGAAAACTGGGCAATTGGAGCCCTACCCAGGTGAATCTTGACCTGAAGGAGGAAGGAGATTGTTTTTGCTTTCAGGATAAAGTCATTCTGTGGCACTTTCCTGGTCTTGTACTGTCCTACCCTGGTCCCTTAAAGGACGGCATAAGGTCTCTTGAACTTAAGCCTCAAGTGGGAAGATGGGCTCTGGATCAGGTGGCCCTGAAGGGAATGTACCCAATGGTCACAGCTCTGCAGGAATGTGTCTGAGGAAGGCCCACTGCGACCTCTCAGGGACTGGCTGGGAAGTGTTGATTTGGTGGCAGGGACAGCAGGGCTCACTAAGTGATCACTTGCTCCCTCTCATATTCTAGCCTCTGGCAGTTAGCCAGGGCCTTATGACCAGTGCTGGCCACAATCAAGAACTGAGAGCTCGCTACTTCTGGACGGAAGCAGGGAAACCCCTGTGTAACTCTCCTCTCTCCCCTCCCTGCTGTGGGGCTGGGAGCCCATGAGGATGCTGTGAGCTCCATGTCTGCAGCTACAAGAAGGTGGAGCCTCTTCCTTGTGTGATAGGACCTCTCTCTGTCACTCATTCATGGGAACTGTGGTAGGGGATATAAACACCCCTTTTTCTAAGACCATGAGGTATTATAACCATTTTTACACAGCTGTTTATTTTATCCTGACTACTATACTGCCTGTAAAGAGCAGGAAGGAGACCAGCCTTCATATTTGTATTAGGTATCTATTGCAATTAGGTGTCTATTGTATAACTTGTCACCCTCAAACTTAGTGCCTTGAATACCACCCAGTCAGTTTCTGTGAGTGAGGGCCTAGGAGTATTTCAGCTTGATCCTCTGGCCCAGGGTCTCCCCAAGTGAAATGAAGGTCTTGGCTGGGGCTGCATCAGCCCTAGGGTCATCTGAGGATAAGTTTCTAAGCTCACTTGTGCAATTGCTGATGGGAGGCAGTTTCTGTGCCTGTTGGGTTGAGGGCCTCAGTTCCTCCCTGGCTGTTGGCCAGAGGCTCCCTCAGTTCCTTCCCATGTGGGCCCCTCCTTAGGGCAGCTGACAGCATGATAGCTGGGTTCCTCAGAGTGAGAAAGAAAGAAAGTGAAGGAGAGAAAGTGTGTGTGTGTAAGGAAGAGGGACCCTACAGTCTTGTATAACTTAGTATCATGGAGTGACATCCATCTGTGTCTGTATTCTATTCCTTAGAAGCCAGTCACTAGGTGCAGCCCATATTCCAGGGGAAGAGGTGTCAAAACGGTGTGAAGAGGAGGAGGGGGGGGTCTTTTGGAAATACTTTAGAAGCCCTTCTGACAATCTTACACTTAATATATACCTGAAAATGTGATTCAGACCTATGATCTCACATAATTCACACAAATCGTTATTAGCCAAGTAAAGAAAATGTGGATTAGCAAGTTTAGGTAACTTGTAGAAGGTTTATACACCACCAGAACCAGGACTTGATCCCAGAATTATTTTAAACTCATTGTACTTGCATTCCAAGAATCAGAAGAGTAATTGGATGGATTTAATGAAAAAGATGAATCCTGTTGTTTTCTCCTTTATTCTTAACTGAGAAACTACTCACATTTCCTATCTCCATTGTTCTAGGCATCTGCAGCACAGTGATCCAGAGTTCTGAAAAATATGATTCTGAAGTTCAGAATTCTGGATTTGTTCCCATGCAGGGGATTCAAGGAGGTTCTGTGTTGTTTCATATAGTCAAGAAGCAAGAAGCTGACCCAGAGGAGGTCTCATGGGGCTTTGGCCCTGAGTCAAACTACAGAGTCATGCTGCGAGTCCGCCGTGGGGCAGATACCCCAACCTGGGTCAGCCTTCAGGACAAGTACCAGCACAGGGTCCATGTGCCCAATGTGACGTCCCTGAGGATTGAGAACCTGACCCCAGAGGACAGTGGGGAGTACCGGGCTCGAGCCAGCTTCACTGAAGGAAGAGAACTTACTCAGGTTTTCCACCTCAGTGTCTATGGTGAGTGACACTCCTCACCCCACCCTATGGCTTCCCTCCTGCCTTTGTGCTAGAAGTTTCACATAGGCCCCATTTTTCATGATCCCTTCCAGACACCAGCCTTCATATCCTGTTTTCTCTTTCAGAATTAGGGTAGATAGGTTTGCCACAAATGGTGTACAGAGCTGATATTCATACCAGAGATAAAATCACTTCAGTGTTTTGGGAAGGGACGATGAAAATTTGGGTAAATGTATTTCTCATTAGCTCAGTTCAGTTCAGTCCTATTCAGTCGTTGAGTTGTGCCTGACTCTTGTGACCCCAAGGACTGCAGCATGCCAGGCTTTCTGTCCATCACCAACTCCAGGAACTTGCTCAAACTCATGTCCATTGAGTTGATGATGCCATCAAACCATCTCATCCTCTGTCATCCCCTTCTCTTGCCTTCAATCTTTCCCAGCATCAGGGTCTTTTCCAATGAGTAAGTTCCTCCCATCAGGTGGTCAAAGTATTGGAGCTTCAGCTTCAGCATCAGTCATTCCAATGAATATTCAGGACTGATTTCCTTAAGGATTGACTGGTTGGATCTCCTTGTAGTTCAAGGGACTCTCAAGAATCTTCTCCAACACCACAATTCAAAAACATCAATTTTTCAGGGCTCAAATTTATTTATGGTCCAACTTTCTCATCCATACATGACTACTGGAAAAACCACAGCTTTGACTAGATGGACCTTTGATGGCAAAGTAATGTCCCTGCTTATTAATATCCTGTTTAGGTTGGTCACAGCTTTTCTTCCAAGGAGCAAGTGTCTTTTAATTTCATGGCTGTAGTCACTGTCTGCAATGATTTTGGAGCCCAAGAAAATAAAGTCTGTCACTGTTTCCAGTGTTTCCCTATCTATTTGCCATGAAATCATGGGGCTGGATGCCATGATCTTCATTTTTTGAATGTTGAACTTTAAGCCAGCTTTTTCATTCTCCTCTTTCACTTTCAACAGGAGACTCTTTAGTTCTTCTTTGCTTTCTGCCATAAGGGTGGTGTCATCTGCATATCTGAGGTTATTGATATTTCTCTTGGCAATCTTGAGTCCAATTTGTGCTTCATCCAGCCCAGAATTTTGCATGATGTACTCTGCATATAATTTAAATAAGTAGGGTGACAATATACAGTCTTGAAGTACTCCTTCCCAATTTGGAACCAGTCTGTTTTTCCATGTCCAGTTCTAACTGTGGCTTCTTGACCTGCATGCAGATTTCTCAGGAGGCAGGTAACGTGGTCTGGTATTTCCATCTCTTGAGGAATTTTCCACAATTTGTTGTGATCCACATAGTCAAAGTCTTCAGTGTAGTCAATGAAGCAGAAGATGATATTTTTCTGGAATTCTCTAGATTTTTCTATGATCTAACAGATGTTGGCAATTTTCTCTGGCTCCTCTGCCTTTTGTAAATCTAGTTTGAACATTTGGAAGTTCTCAGTTCATGTACTGCTGAAGCCTGGCTTGGAGAATTTTGAGCATTGCTTTGCTAGTATGTGAGATGAGTGCAATTGTGTGGTAGTTTGAACATTCTTTGGCATTGCCTTTTTTTGGGATTGGAATGAAAACTGACTTTTCCAGTCCTGTGGCCACTGCTGAGTTTTCCAAATTTGCTGGCATATTGAGTGCAGCACTTTCACAGGATCATGTTTTAGGACTTGAGATATCTCAGTTGGAATTCTGTCACCTCCACTAGCTTTGTTCATGGTGATGTTTCCTAAATCCCACTTGACTTTGCACTTCACGATGTCTGGCTCTAGGTGAGTGATCACACCATCGTGGTGATCTGGGTCATTAAGATCTTTTCTGTATAGTTCTTCTGTGAAGAAGTTCTCCACTTCTTGCTAATAAGTTCTGCTTCTCTTAGGTCCATTCTGTTTCTGTCCTTTATTGTGCCCATCTTTGCATGAAATGTTCCCTTGGTATTTCTAATTTTCTCTAAGGGACCTCTAATCTTTCCCATTGTATTGTTTTTCTCTATTTCTTTGCATTGATCATTTAGAAAGGCTTTCTTATCTCTCCTTGCTATTCTTTGGAACTTCGCATTCAGATATACCTTTGCTTTTCTCCTTTGCCATTTGCTTGTCTTCTTTGCCATTTGCTTGTCTTCTTTTCTCAGCTATTTGTAAGGTTTCTTCAGACAGCCATTTTGCCTTTTTCTATTTCTTTTTCTTAGGGGTGGTTTTGATCACCATCTCCTGTACAATGTTACAATCCTCCATCCATAGATCTTCATTAGTATTTGTTATAATAATTATTATTCATTATAGGACTCAGTTTATTTGATTTGTGTATTAACTCTATCTATTGCTTCTATCACAAATCACAAATTACTGGACATGAAACAACAGACTGGTACCAAATCAGGAAAGGAGTACGTCAAGGCTGTATGTTGTCACCCTGCTCATTTAACTTATATGCAGAGTACATCATGAGAAATGCTGGGCTCGATAAAGCACAGCTGGAATCAAGATTGCCAAGAGAAGTATCAATAACCTCAGATACGCAGATGACACCACCCTTATGACAGAAAGCAAAATAGAACTAAAGAGCCTCTTGATGAAAGTGAAAGAGGAGAGTGAAAAAGCTGGCTTAAAACTCAGCATTCAGAAAACTAAGATCATGGCATCTGGTCCCATCACTTTATGGGAAATAGATGGGGAAACAGTGAGGGACTTTATTTTTTTGGGCTCCAAAATCACTGCATATGGTGACTGCAGCCATGAAATTAAAAGACACTCGCTCCTTGGAAGAAAAGCTGTGACCAACCTAGACAGCATTTTAAAAAGCAGAGACATTACTTTGCCAACAAAGGTCCATCTAGTCAAAGCTGTGGTTTTTCCAGTAGTCATGTATGGATGTGAGAGTTAGACTATAAATAAAGTTGAGCACTGAAGAATTGATGCTTTTGAACTGTGGTTGGAGAAGACTCTGGAGAGTCCCTTGGACTGCAAGGAGATCTGACCAGTCCATCCTAATGGAAATCAATCCTGAACATTCATTGGAAGGACTCTTGCTGAAGCTGAAACTCAAAGTCTTTGGCCACCTGATGGGAAGACCTTACTCATTGGAAAATACCCCTATGTTGGGAAACATTGAAGGTGGGAGGAGAAGAGGTGACAGAGGATGAGATGGTTGGATAGCATCACCGATTCGATGGACACGAGTTTGAGTAAGCTCTGGGAGTTGGTGATGGACAGGGAAGCCTGGTGTACTGCAATCCACAGGGTTGCAAAGAGTCGGACGTGACTGAGTGACTGAACTGAACTAGTGGCTTAAGACACAAAAATATTATTTTATCTTTCTGGAGGTCAGAAGTCAGACAGAAGTCTCACTAGGCTAATCAAGTTGACTTAAAAAAATTATTAACAATCTAGAAGTTGAGAGTTACATTTTATTTGGTAGACATTTTCAGGACTTCAAGCCTGAGACACATCATCTCAAATAGCCCTGAGAGAACTGCTCTGAGGAGGCAGGGGGAGGAGTCAGGTCATATAGAAGTTTGCAACAAGGGGCAAGTAGTCTGAACATTAAAGGATTATTGGTAATTAAGCAAAACCAGATATCTCAAGGAATTTAGCACTTTCCCATGTATGGGAAGGTGCAAAAATCTGGGTTTACTGAAGTCATTCCTTTCATATCCATCTCAGCTCTCTGGGGCTTCCCCCCCTCCCATCACCCCAGCTCCTCAGGTATCACCATGGGAAATGACTGAAGGCTGTAAGATAACAGGCATTGTTCTTCCCGGGCCCCTTCTGAGCTCAGAAATTCATATTTGGGGGCTGGAATCACTGGTGGCTGTGACATCCTTGTTTATTGATATGGCAGGAAATGCTCCATTTCTTAATGCTGTCAGAACTGCCTTCCTTCCTTTAGGTTCCAGAGGAACAAATGACTGCCAGCATTCTTTGACTCATGGTCATACTTGTCCATCTTCAGAGCCAGCAATGGAGGGGTGATTTCCTCTCACACTGATCCCTCTGACCACCTCCTCTTCTTCCTTCTTCTACTTTTAAGGACCCCTGTATTGCCTTGGTTCCAACCAGGTATTCTGGAATAAATCCCTATTTAAAGGTCAGTTAATAAATATCCTTAATCCATCTGTTACCTTCATTCCTCTTTGCCAAATAGCCTAACATAAACAGAGGTTCTGGGGATTAGTGCATTATGCATCTACCACAATTCAGAAATCTATAGGTAGGTAGTCCTCCCTGTCCTCTCTCTTTTTACCAGCCAGAGATACAGTTGCTCACAAAGACCCCTGAAATCTCACTCCTAAATCCTCAATAGATGTAGGAGAAAATTTACACTGCATCTTAAGAGCCTTATTTAGTCAACTTTTTGTTTCCCTAAAGCTTCTTTTGCATATGGAAATATCTACTATGAGAATGACTTTGAACCCTTTAGGACCCCATGTGATATCTATAACAGACTTGTCAATCAGCAACTTTTCTGCTATGGGGACTTCAAGTTTAGTGGCATGTTCTAACCACACTTGGGTTGTATTTCCTGATCACTACCAGTGAATCGCTTAGAAATGTCTTTACTTTTGGCATCTAGCACAGGCCATATGTCAGTACTCCATAAGGGCTGTGCAGTCCCAGGAATCATCTGAACAGGAGAAGCAGGGCAATGGCCCTGGTCCAAGTCAAGTTCTTCCTTCCCCAACTTCTTCCCCTGGAAAGAAGGAAACATCTCAATTTCTTACATACAATGAGTCCTGGAAGGTGAAGTCCATCATATAGATTTTTTATGGAAGAATTTTAAGGCTTGCTAGTCTACTGAGATCACATAGGATTTACCTCAATTGTTTCCTTTCTTATTGTCATTGCTGTATATTTGGATTTTGGAAAAATAGTGTTTCTTCTGGAAAATCCTGAGAGGGAGGTTGCCAGAGCTTCAGCGAGATAATGGGTGAAAAATGTGAACTGCCATGTTCTCCACTCATGTGATGCTCCGTTCTTTTGTCTCACCTACCCCAGAGCCCATGCTTCTTCCTGAGATCCTGGTCAAGTCATCCATCACACCAGACTGGTGCAATGTCACTCTGGAGTGCAGGGACCCAGGGAACAGAGAGGATCTGGAGGTGATCTGGGAGAGCAAGGGTCTTCCCAGGGAGCTGGAGTGGAGTGGGGCACCAGGACCAGCCCCCAGTTCCTGGAGCCTGCATGTGAACTTGTCCCTGAGCCAGCCCAGTGCCATCCTCACCTGTGTGGTCAACAACCATGTGGACCAGAAAACTGCCACTGTAGACCTTGGGAAAGTCTGTTTCCCTGGTGAGTGCAACCTGACAGAGGAGAGGGACACTTGTGGATCTCTGGTGTACTGGGGTGAGAGTCCCCACTGTGTTATTAGCACCACCTTCCACCGGGTCACCCATACAGGAGCCTGGGAAGCACAACCAATTTGCTTCTGCTTTTGAATTTCTCTCACATCCATGATCTCCTCTCCACCGCTTGCCCCTATTGGTCCAGGCAGTAGCCTTCCAGTACCTCTCCCCACATCATTCATCATTCATTGTGTGTCTAGAGTGATCTTTAGGAAAAGTGAATTGGATTGTGTCAACTGTGTTATCTGAGGGACTTGGCTTACAGTGTCTCCCTGTAGGATTCAGGGCTCAATGTCTCTCTTCTCACGTGTTTCACACTGGATTGTTTGCCGGAGCCCCTTCTGACCCTCTGGAAATGCTATTTCCTTTACCACCAGCCCTCCCAAGTCAAGAGTCCTTCACTTCATTACTTACTGCTGTTGAAGAATGTCTCTCAGTTAAGGCCAGTGATCTTAACTGAGTGATCAATATGGTTACACAGGGCCCCGTGCTGGTTATGGTTCAGCTTTTAATAACAGTTGAAGAAAAGGAACCTCAGTCTCATTTGGCAGAGGGCCTTGCAGGTGCCGTAATCTGCCAGCAGAGACATTATCTTTTTAAAAGAGTGATTGATGGCCACTCCACACTAAGTAGCAATGCTGTTTGTGGATTTGTCTCCTGTGCAGATTAGAACACCTTGAGGGTGGAGGCCATGTCTGGTCTTCTTTGAATTCATGTGCCAAGCAAAGATCCTGGTAACGTTTCCTCACACTGAGAGTTTCGTTGAATTATGAATGACCTGGTGTGTAGTTCACCTTTCTAAGGGAAAGGTGAGACCTTTCCTCCCCAAGGGAGACCTGACCTGCTGGGGGGGATCTGATATGTCAGCATCACTTAAATCCCCTATAACCCTTGCCTCAGCCTCATCATGGACTCTCAGATAAAATTAAACACTCAGCAAACCCTTAGGAAAGAGACTCATCCCTTCTTATCCTCCTTGTCCAATTCTTTCCTGCCCTGTCCTCCTGCCTGCCTCAGTGGGGTGATGACAATCCCCAGGGCTGATGATCTGACACAGACATGCCGTGAACATTATGTTCCTCCTTCCTGAAATGCTGTGCCTACCCTGAATATCTGGGAAGCTCCTACTCCTCCCTTAAGACTCAATTCATGCATCACCTCCCCTGGAAGGCCCTTCCTGAAGACATGTGTACAAGATGTAAAACTCCATTGAACTGCAATGTCTCTGACTGGGAGACTTTGATTTTTTCTCAGTTCAGTTTATGAATGAACCTGCTGCACTCTTTAACTTCTGGACCAGGACTTCAGACTTCTCCCTGTTCTCTCTCTATCTCACTATGGCAAGGATTATTTAAAATTCTGTCTTCCCTTAACCATTCTCCATTTTCTCTGTGTGAGGGAAACAGGTTCAAAAGAACAGACCATTGCTGGTCTCCTGGAAGGCATCCTATGGGCCATCGTGGTTGTGCTATTCTTCCTGGGAACTGGACTGTACTTTTGGAAGACATATAAGAAGGAAAGGAACACAGAGACTGGAAGAGGCAGGTTGCACTTCTCTTTCATCCTCAGATAACTCCTCTCTTCCACTGAAACCCTTTCTTCTTCGTTTTGCTGCTCAGAGATTGCCTTTGAAAAGGGGCTGGTTTCTGTGATCATGGCATTGGGGTCATAACTATGGAGCTGGGCACAGGCTTTTGAGACTGAGATTCAAGCTCCACTCTGTGTATGTGTGTGACTCAGGAGCAACATTGCAGGAGGACCACAGGAACCAAGGTGATGGCGACTGGGCAGAGCAGAGCCAGGAAGAGTTTCAAGAAGGCATGTACCAGGTGAGAGGCGGGAGCTGAGCTCATCCTAAGCTGTACTAGGTCCTCTGCAGCTGCACTTGTGCTTATCAAACCTAGTCATTGCTATTTCTGGTCCTACTGTTCTTTCTGAACAACCAACAGCATTAACTAGGAAAATTTATATCTGAGGCCTGTGTGGTACTGGGTACTTAGGGGGAACCATAAACAGTGGATGTCAGCAGCATTGGTTCCATGTGGGTTCCTTTGTGGTCCATTGTTTAGTCACTAAGTCACATCCAACTCTTTGCAACTCCATGGACTGTAGCACTCCAGGTTTCCCTAACCTTTCCTATTTCATGAAGCTTGTTCAAATTCATCTTTATTCAGTTGGTGAGGCCATACAACCATCTCATCCTCTTTCACTCCCTTCTCCTCCTTCCCTCAGTCTTTTCTAGCATCAGGGTCTTTTCCAATGAATTGGCTGTTCACACAGGGTGGTCAAAGTGTTGGAGCTTCACCTTCAGCATCAGTCCTTCCAATGAATATTCAGGACTGATTTCCTTTAGGATTTGGAGCTCCTTGCAGTCCAAGGGACTCTCAAGAGTCTTCTCCAGCACCACAGTTCTAAAGCATCAATCCTTTGGTGCTCACTCAGTCTTCTTTATGGTCAACTCCCATATCTGTACATGACTACTGGAAAAACCATAGCTTTGACTATACATACATTTCAGCAAAGTAATTCTGCTTTTAAATATGCTGTCTAGGTTTGTCATAGCTTTTATTTCAAGAAGCAAGCATCTTTTAATTTCATGGCTGCAGCCATAAACCGTACTGATTTTGGAGCCCAAGAATATAAAATCTGTCACTGTTTCCACTTTCCCCTCATCTCTTTGCCTTGAAATGATGGGACCAATGCCATGACCTTTGTTTTTTGAATACTGAGTTTTAAGCCAGCTTTTTCATGCTCTTCTTTCATCTTCATCAAGAGACACTTTAGTCCTTCACTTTCTGCCATAAGGGTGTTGTCATCTTCATATCTGAAATTGTTGATATTTCTCTCAGCAATCTTGATCCCATCTTGTGATTCATACAGCCTGGTTTTTTGTGTGAAGTGCTCTGCATATAAATTAAATAAGCGGGTTTTTGACCAGCATATAGGTTTCTCAGGGGACATGTAAGGTGGTCTGGTATACCCAACTCTTTAAGAATTTTTCCACAGTTTTTTGTGACCACACAGTCAAAGTCTTTAGTGTAATTAATGAAGCAGAAGTAAATAGTTTTCTGGAATTCGCTTGTGTTTTCTATGATCCAATGCATGTTGACAACTTGATCTCTTATTCCTCTGTCTTTTCTAAATCCAGCTTGTACATCTGGAATTTCTTGGTTCATGTACTGCTGAAGCCTAGCTTGAAGGATTTGGAGATTTACTTTGCTAGCATGTGAAATGAGTGCAATTGTATGGTGATTTGAACATTCTTTAGCATTGCTTTTCTTTGGGATTGAAATGAAAACTGACCTTTCCGGTCCTGTGGACACTGCTGAGTTTTCCAAATTTGGTCTAGTTTATACTTTATCTGCTCTGAGAATCCATTGTCTTTCACTCCTAGAGTATCAGTGCACAACGTCTGGAACAAGAGTTGCCTCTCCACACTGTCTGCTCTGCGATCCAGAACACAGGCGAGGGTATGAAGATAATATAATTGGAGGAAGCAAAGGAATCTTGGGACACCTCCACTCTGATGCTGACATACTTCAGATACCTGCTTCAATTCTGGTTCAGCTCTGCTTGCTCCTGGTCTTTTACTTTGACCTTTATGATCTCAGCTCAACAAGAGATGGACCTGGAATTTTCAGAGCCAATAATGGACCAAGTTTTATCTTAGACACTCTACAAATATTATTTATTCTAGTTCTCACAAGGAACCTCTAGGATAGGCATCATGTTCTGTATTTTATAGAACAGCAAATATTATTCCCAAGCTGTTGGTGGCAGACAAAAACCTTAAATTTAACACTGAGTGAATCCAGATTTCACATATTACCCTTTCTCTACATGGGCACTGAATCCTGAAATATTGGATGGGAATATGTTTCATTTATTCCTCTCCCAAAGACCTAGCCTCTGATGCTGGTGCTGCAATATGGACTGAGTTCATTGTTGAATCATCTGGTGGCTAAAGAGGTATTACCCCTTAAGTGGACAATGGGGACTTGGTATGTGGGAGACATGGGAAGAGGGATCTTGACCTCAGTTTAGAGGAAACATTCCGAGAGGAATGCTTCTCACTCTTGGGTCTTGTAAGAGTTCTTCCTCTCTTTACACAGTGTGTTGTGGATTTCAGCAGCACAGTCTTCAAATCTGCTCCACTTACATTGTTATTCAAAAGTTCACTCAATAGGTTTTACATAAGTTTTTCATTTAAACATTCAGTGATTCTGTGAGGCAGAAATTTCCACTGCACAGGTGGAAAACTAAAACTTACAGATGTTAAACACCACATTTAAGCTTCTCAAGTAAAGTGATATGCCTGATTTGGGTTTACAGAGGATCGCAATTTCACTAATTTTGACTCTTTTTTCCTCCATTATGCCAGACACCCAACCAATCATTATCTTCCATTGAGTTATCCTTCAAAATGGTTTTTGTAGTCCACCCTCCTCTCATTCTTTTATTCTTATTTTCTACCTATAGAAATATTCTACCTGCAGTTTCACCATTTTCACATTTCCACCAGCAATATAGGAGGATTCCTGCACATAACTCTTATAATTTTTTGATTATAACCTTCCTAGTATGTGTCTGATGTAATATTTCATTGTCATTTTGAATTGCATTTCACTAATAATTAATGAAATTAGAAGATGATTGCTTCTTGGCAGGAAAACTATGAAAACCTAGACAGTGTGTTAAAAAGCAAAGATGTCATGATGGTGACACAGGTCCATATAATCAAGGCTATGGTATTTCAACTAGTCATGTACAGTTGTGAGAGCTGAGCAATAAAGAAGGCTGAGTGCCAAAGAAATGATGCTTTTGAACTGTGGTGGTATAGAAGACTCTTGAGAATCCCTTGGAAAGCAAGGAGAGCAAACAAGTCAATCTTAATGGAAACCTGGGATACTCATTGGAATGCTTGATGCTGAAACTGAAGTTCCAATAGCTTGGCTACCTGATGTGAACATCTGACTCATTGGAAAAGATCCTGGTGCTGGGAAAGATTGAAAGCAGGAGGAGAAGAGGGCAACAGAGGATGGGATGGTTGGATGGCATCACTGCTTCAGTGGACATGAACTTGGGCAAATCTGGGAGATGGTGAGGGACAAGGAAGCCCGGTGTGCTGCAGTCCATGGGGCTGCAAAGAGTTGGACACGTCTTGATGACTGAACAAAAACAATGATGATGAATAAGGTTGAATATTTTTTTCATGTGTATTAACTATTTGTATACCTTATTTGAATTAATCCATCTCTCCCTCTAAGTCTCTCTCATCATGCTTTGTTTCCACCATAACAATAGAACTGCTGTTCAAGTCACTAGGAAACTTCATGTCATTAAATCTAATAGATGGTCTGTTCCATCTCCCTTGAAGCTCAGCAGCAATGGCACTGTCCTTGCTTGAATCCCTGCATCACTTTGTATTCAACAATCACAATTCTTTCTCTCACACTCAGTGGTAGCTTCCTTGTTGCTTTGACTAGTTTCTTTCTTATCTCTTCAATCTCACAATTCTGGAATATCCTAGGGATCAGACACAGACCATCCACATCACCTTTCTTCACTATCTACACTCATTACTTTCTGGTGTTATGGCCATGCACTAATCCCCAAACCTGTGTCTATGTAAACTTACGAGGTAAAAATGTCTTACAGATGTAATCAAAGTTAAGGTCCTTGAGATTGGGAGATTACTCTGGATTATCTAGGTGGTCCTATTTTAATCATGGAAGTTCAAAAAAGTGGAAGAATAAGAGGTAGAAAAGTGGGTCTGAGAGATATGAGGTGAGAATTTGACATACTATTGTTGTCTTTGAAGATGGAGTAAGAGGAACATAAGTCCAGCACATGTTGGGGTTTGTAGAAGCTCGGAAAGCTTACAACTAGGGGAACATGAAGACTTCAGTCTTAAAATTGCCAAGAACTGAATTCAGGTCATAACAAGTACCAGCAGAAAATGGATTCTCCTACTGAGACTCCAGAAAGGATCATAGCTTATGAATACCTCAATTTAATATCAGTGAGATTCACACCAGATTTCTGATTTTCAGAACTGTGAGATAATAATTTTGTGTTAAGCAACTATATTTGTAGTGATTTCTGTGGCAGCAATAGAAAACCAATATAGATACCATCTCATGATTTTAAATACTTGACTGCTCCAAAAATTCTGGTCTGGATTTCTCCAAAGGAGTCCACATTGTAAATATCCAACGGTTTACTTGACATCTCCACTTCGATGTATAATAGATATCTCAAACTTTACATGTTTATGTTTAAGCTTCCTAACCATGTTCTCATACAGTTTTCCAATCCCAATAAATGCTACCTTCATACTTCCATTTTTTTGTCACATAATTTTGCTGTTGTCCTTGATTTTACTCATTTTCTCACAACCCACATTCTATCAGCAAATACTGTTATCTTTTCTATCTATCAATATTTCTAATCTATCATCTATTTATCTATCATCTGTTTGTATTGGTAATATGACTACCTCTTACCACATATGTGATCCAAGATGACCACCAATTTTCACCTGGAGTAGTTTAGTAGCCTCACACTCTCTCTGTTTCTGTACCCCTTTATGTTTTTTTTCAAATAGCATTCAGAGTAGTCTTTCTAATAAGTTACATCATATAGGCAGGATGTGGTTAACAGCAGATATTGGGTTATCTTGGTATTATAAATAGATATTCACATATGTTTATCTGGGCCACAAGGAATATAAAAATTGATGTGAAGGTGTTGGTAGTGGTTGTCTTCTGGGGTCTGTCTCTTCTGTATCATATTTTCTAAAATAACTTAACAGAAAGAAAAGATCTTCTATTTAAATTTTTGAGCATGGGATTGATATGACCTAATGTCATGAGTAAGAGCTGATCTTAGTAAAGCCACATACATACCAAGAGGAAGTTTGTCATCTTGTTAAACTAGTTGTTATGGACTGAATTATGTCCCCTCAAAAATCCACATGTTGAAGCCCTAAACCTTAATGTGACTGGAATTTGAGATACAGCCTTTATGGAGGTAATTAAGGTTCAATGAAGTCAATAGGGAGGAGACTAATTTGATAGAACTTATGAGAAGAGAAAGAGCTCTCTCTCTGCCCTGACAGAGAAAAGGCCATATGAAGTCACAGTGAGAAGCTGTTGTCTGCAAGCTGTTTCTGCAAGGCATTACCAGAAACCAACTTTCACTGCACCTTGATCTTGGACCTTGGACATTCAAAAATATGAGAAAATAAACTTATGGTGGGTAAGTCATGCAGTCTGTGATATTCTACTAAAGCAGCCAGAGAACACTAATATAAGTTTTCTTTGAAATCAGCCATAAACATACTTATATTTGTCTAGACACTAAAGGCAGCAATAGAAAACAAGTAGATGGTACATTTTGTTCTATAGATGAACATTTTGTTCTAATTGTTGCCAACACAAAATCTTTGTTAACTGCTCACAACTCTGGCCATTCTTCAGATCACCTGCAGAGCTTTCAAAAATACAATTGCCTGAAATCCTTACCCAAACTACAAATCATTTGTATTTATTAAAAATCTAAATAGATGATTCTGAAGCATAGTGGGTGTTAAGAACTGAAAACATTTGGTCTAGATGGTGTTTTCAGAAAGTTCAAATGGGAGGACAAAGAGAGGTTGAGAGTTTGCCTTCCAAGATGATGCTTAATGTGTGCTCAGCACCACTAAAATTGGTTGAGTGGAGGAAGGAGTGAATGAAGAGGCTCCTCAACTTGGCATTATTTGCATGTGTTCATCAAGGCTCAGGGTCTGACCCTTAGGCTCAGGCTGAATCCAGAAACTCTATCTCATCATTTGCCCAGAAAATGAATTAACTTGGAGATGAAAAATCTTGATAACAAATGTCATCAGACGCTGTTACATAAAATCATGTTCCTTATTTATAAAGTAACAGCAAAAATTATACTTGTCAACTGGGTTGGATATTTCTCTTAGGGCATCCTCTTCCCAAAAAAGGCCACATGCGATACCAAGGTACCACAGAGCTGCCGGGGAGCCCTGAGTGAGAACAGGTGAGCAGATGCTGTTGGCATGGATCCCAATGGCCTTCTTATGTTAGCTTTCCATCTCCATGGAAGGACTTAACTGCCCAGGACATGAGATTCTCCTGCCAGCCCAACTGTGTGCTTCATTTGTCTTTGTCCCTTATCTCTGCTTATGCTACTTTTCTTATTTATCATCTCTTTGATTAATATACTATTTCTTTGATAATGTGCATATGTGAAATTAACTCTTGCTCTGGTCTGAAAGGGAATCTCTAAAACTCTCATTTGAGAGAATTTCAAATACTGTCATCTGGTATTTGGTATTTTACTTAACTTTTAAACAAGAACAACATGAAAAACAAACAGAAAGCCCTAAAAACTCTAACTAGCTCTATTTAGTTATTTCCAAGGTTTTAGTAGAGAGTATGGAAGGAGAGAGAGGACACCTGCTTAGTATACCAC